AAAAAGACTTTCACAACAATAAGCGACTCAGTTTTCACTGATGAAAATAAATGAAATTCAGCTTTTTATCAACTAGAAACATGAAATTAGGGGCTTCCCAGGTGGGGCGGCAGTAAAGAACATTCCATCCACCTAAGCATTTCCTTAATCTTACTTATGATTCTAAGTGCATGACATGCATTACTTAATTGAATCCTCAAAATAACTGTATGAACCAACAGCAATAATTATTCCTATCTTACGGATGACAGAAAGACGACCTAAAGAGGTTAAAAATTTCCCAAGATTGAGCGTCTATATTTCAATCCAGTAGTGGATTCAAGGCCTGTGTTACCGTGCCACGTGAATGTGTTTTAAGTCACTTCAGTTGTGTCTGAGTGCCAGGCTACTCTGTCCATGGGATTCTCCAGGCAAGAATACTGGAGTGGGTTGTCATGCCCTCCTCTAGGGTATTTTCCTGACCCAGAGATCAAACCCATGTCTCTTAAGTTTAATGTATTGGCAGATGGGTTCTTTACCACTAGTGCCACCTGGGAAGCCCCAGTGCTTCCAATTCTGGAAAAACTGTTGTAAGACTGATCAGAAAGAGTATATTTCAATCATTGTAAGCAAGAGCCACTACAATAGAACTAAGCCAGAGAACTAAGATACATAAAAATACCCCAGTTTTAGTCAATCTAGAATAAGACTCTGAGTGAATATCTGTATAAACATAAGTGCTATCTTGGTGCTATCTGTGCAGAAATGTGTGTGCATTTCCATGTGTGCACATGCACATGTGTTTGTGTGTTGTGAGAAAGAGAACTAGAAAAAGGAAGAGAGAAAAACAGATCAAGAGAGATTTTAAAACATTGTTTAAAAATCTCCTTGTACAAATTCTGGATTATAATAACTTGAAAAGTTCACCAAGGTACCACTACATAACTTCTAACTGCTATACTGAGGGAGATTTATAAAGTTATATGTCTCATCTCTGCCTTCTTTCCAATTATTCAGTGTGGAAAATGATATTGGCCTTCCAAAACCTTAACTTATGTTTGGACCCCTTCCATCTTTGAGTCTTATTCTACTGTTGCTGACCATTAAAAAGAATATTTCAGTGAGGCTGGAACAGCCTTACTAGCCCAAGCCAAGCTTTAGCTTTATATGGCTTGTGCTCTTTAAGAGGTTAAATCTAGCCAGCCAGCTCACTTTGTTCAGAAGTATTAAATGGAAAGACTGTAACATTCAAAGTAAGGCAAAGTTCATTGGGTCAGACCCCAATAATATAATGGAGCATAAAACCTCTAGAATTTTTTACCATAATATTTTATGAAACATATGCACACAGTCATTGGAAAAGAATCCAGTTCAAATGGTTCTGAAGGTCAGTTCAAAGTCACTGCATATGTAGTATCTCTGTGGGAAATATGTTCTATTTTAGAAGTAGCTAGACCCAAAAGCTTCCTTTCCCTATTTTATAGTTTATTATCAGTCCAGTACTGTATTATACTGGGGAAAAAAAAATCACCTACTACCACATGATATAATTTGCAGCCAAAAAAACCTAAAGTTCAGCAAAATAATACAAATTTCAGAATCAACAAATTCTTGTGTTATAGAACAGAGGCCATCAGAGGGTAATTCTAAAAGTAGGCACTTACTTAAGTGTGGGCAATACATAAAAATTAAAAACAATTATTTTATTCTCAACTTCATTTGAAAGCCTTTGACATTCACTGTTAGGAAAAGAGCAGAAGACTATCAATTCCTGTATTTCAAAGAAAACTGAAATAGGAACTGAGTAGAGCTAACGATTCACAGAATTCTGAGGTTTCCAAAAAGCCCAAAAGGTATGAGCAACTATGATTCTCCTTAGGGGAAGGAAGTAAAGGTCCACTTTGCATGACAAAGGTCAGATTTCTGCAGGCAAATGAGACTTCTGTGGTTGACTGTTCCAAGGCTCCCCCTGTCTGGCTGAGTCCTGAGAGGTCAGGAGAGGTTCTGAATTTAGCTCACTGCTTTGGGAACACCCCTGGGGCCACTTGATACATTTTAAGGTCATTAGGACTTTCCTTACTCTGGTTCCAGCTTTAGTTCCTTAAATCTTGCTAGTGGATCGTGGCAATTCAGCGCCAACATAGGTTAAAAAGAAAATGAAAGCATTATTTGTATTATTAGTATTATTATTATTAAAGTATTATTATTAGTTAGTATTAGTATTATTAGTATTAAAGCATTATTAGTATCATATGCAGATCAAAAAGATAGAATCCACTTAACAACTTCTTTTAAATCTAAGACTGAATTCAATGCCATTCAAGTAGACCTCAGAGAGTGATAACCAGGTATCCACAGAAAAGCGAGATTATTACAGCTGCCCTGGCATTTATACTGTATGATCAATGCCACTTCTCCAGATTGCATTTAATATGATGTAGCTTTATGTGAAGATTACCCTAAACAGTTTCCTCAATCATCACATATGTTTAGTTATGATATTTTATTGCTTACTTTTTTGTAATAACTGTTGAGTCATTAAAATATGACAAATGCTGAAGTAAAAACGATTACAGTACTTCAGCACTTTTCTATTTAGTGCAAATATACATCTAAACTTTCTCACAGTGAACTGGAAATATACCAAATAGATTATATTTACAAAAGTTGGAAGACTTTCCGCCTATTTGTAATTAATGAATGGTATCTCTAAGTATTTTAGATAATGTGTAGAAAACATCTGTATTTAATTACATCACACTTTTCCCAGACAATGGGAATTGAACTAAGGAATATTTTGAAACCCCTATAGAGATGTAAAAGTATTAATGGCTTTTCAAGAACTTTATTGACATAATGCTGGAAATGTTTGGTTTTACAGGTCAGCAGCCTTGACACTTTGTAAATAATAGATATTTGATATAAAGGGAAGAAACTTAAAATACTGGGCAAATACAGAAAATACATCACTAGAAAAGATGGGGGCTGCAACCTTCCACTACTATTACATATCACATGAAGAGATACAGAAGATGAGTGGAATAAAATTTTGTAACATATAAGCAGGGTTTCTCTTTGAATTTTGTTGTGGGTTGAGAAATTCTACAAGAATAAATTCCTACTCAATTTTCAGAGAAAAAATCCTAAATTGTTCTCATGGGAACAGTGGGACACAAAGAATGGGTTTTTAGTACTCGTCTTTAAGTATTGACAAAGATCAAATGTGCTTTCTGGGTGCTTACTGGCTCCAAATGCCACTACTTTTCAAAGTCGGTGTCAGTTCTGCAGTAGTTTTCAATCTCCCAGTGGTAAGAATATATTCAAAGGCTATGTGCACAGCAGGGTAGACGTCTTTCCCCCTGAATGTAACTGTATCACTTGTCAGTAACCTCCTGCCATAAGGGGACTCCTGTTTTCTTTCCTTTTAGTGACTCCTCAGGCTCTTGAATGCCAGTCACTGCCCTGAGACCTGGGGCAATATTCACATAATCTCTGTCAATAGTTCCTACACATGCCATTGGTGCAACTAAATGTCAAGGCTGCAGATCAAAGTCCCCACATTCTAAAACCCATGTCCTTTATGGATCAATTTTCATAAACTATATGCCATGTTTTAGAAATATGTGGAGGCTCACTATTTGCTTTATTCCTTTTATCCCAGAGAAGTTTATTTATACGAAAAGTGATCTGATTGGTAGATAACAGTGTGAAATTCTCATGCATTACATAAAACATTCTTTCCTTTGTATTTCCTTTTATTGAAGTATTTTACTCTATCAGGTATCTTACAGTAGAAACACAAAATCCTTTGGTCTATTAAAATAAAAAGGCACGAACTGCTTTGCAATACTTGGCCATCCTTCCCCAGTGCCTGGTACAATATGGGCTAGATGATAGAGCAAATTCTTACTAATGATTGATTTTATTTTTAAATATTCATTATGCTGGAAGTAAATTATATGACAGAAAACAGCTTCAGCATGTGTTTTTACGATCTATTTTCATTTCAATTATTCAAAATTGCTTGGGAAAATGAATGTAATTATTAAAAATCATTTTTGTTCTGTAGATTTTATATACAAATTACTCAGACCTACACTTATTCAAGTAGATCTGAGTAAAATACAATGAACCAAACTATCTGCTCTGAATATCTTTCACATCAATTTTGGTTATATTTTTTAATTTAAAACTTTCTCTTAAGAACTATATTTAGAAAATATCAAAAGATTTATAACATCACATATACAAATGCTGTTTATGCTTATGCCTAGCTAAAGTTTAAATACATTTATTATAGAGGAATAGAGTATATAACACATTAGATATGCACATGCCAGAGGGCTAAAAAGGAATATGGGAAAACAAATACAGACCTTAAAGCCATAGAGTTGTTGACTAAATTCCAAATTTATTCCAGATTCATCATCCCAGTTCCCCTAAGCAAATTTTAATACAATCACATGAGATTATTAGCTACAAAGCTTCACCATGACTTCTATAATCTGTGAGACAATAGGCAAGTCACTTACTCAGAAGGTAAGCCTTGGCCTTGTCTGTTTTAGTAAACAATTACAATCTAAGGTTTTTAAAAGTGTGAGGAAAAAGAAGAATATTATTTCCATTTTTCTGGTAAATGAGTAAGGCTCAATAAAAATCCAGATAATGGAGGAAACTACAGAGGTCCTCATTAATGGAGAAGATTTAAATTTTCTGAGAAATCAAACTTCTATTTTATTTAATTCTCCTCTTCATCGCTAATAAGAAAATAATTTGTCTAAAATCTAAATGTGATTAATCAAAAAGTTACTTTGATAATATATCGAATGAATTGATGTATTAACAGAAATAGGAGTGTGTGTGTATGCACGCATACATATTTGCTTCTGCTGAGGGCAGAGGAAGGAGAGTCTAATAGCTATGATTACAAATCCTTTGACATCCTCCTAGACATATGGCAAAATAAAACTACAGGAATGCTATGGAAGAGCAAGTGAAGTCTTCTTGTGAAACTTACTTACCAGTTTTTCGAAGGGGGAAATCATCCTTTGCATCTTGTGCTCCAGGTAATGTGTATTTGTAGGATGGAGGCGTTCCACTCAGGGGTGGAGAGCTTTGATCCAATGACGTGTGGTGGGCAGCCCTACAAAAGAAAAGAGGGCTCACCATTTGTCCTGGAGTTTTTACTGCACACTAGTCAACAATAATCGGTTGCATGTGCTGCAACATGTATCTCAGCTGTGTTTATGCTCTTCCTTTTTAGCGTGTACAAACCACAGCCTCACATAACCAAGTTCACTTTAGCAGTATGTTGTAGAATGATGCAGGATGCCCAAGAATGCCCACTGTGTGTTTGGTCATGTGGCCACATAGAAAACTTTGCTTCATTAAAGGAGAGAATTTACAAAGAGCTTGAGTTTTGGTATCTGAGATTATTATGTGTGTTTTCTTAGGAGTCATTTTAATGGAAAAGTCATCATCTGAATCCTTTTTGGTCAACCTTGCAGAACCACCAAGGTAAAAGTAAACATAGAGAAGGACTTCATTTTTTAAAACTTGCTAGGTAGTCCATGAAAGTACATGGAGAGAGAGTACTATGCCAAGAGACCCAGGTTTCCTGATTTTGACAGCAGTTCCAAGGTAAAGACTGAAGACACATTCTTCTTTGTATGAAAGTGAACTCTCAAAATGTGTTGTCTTTTCCGCATTAATACAAGTGAAAGAGATACAGTTGTATCACTGGAGAATAGTTCAGGACTGAACATAGACTACTCAGCCAATATAAACATCTATAATCATTATATATGAATAAGACACTAGATAGGACATAGTATCACCACCATGATGATTCTACCAGTATTATTTCTTTGAATCAACAGTCTCAAGAATTAACTAGTGTGAGGATATTTCATCTGATCACAATTGGCAAAAAAAAGTATTAAGTTCAGATTTCACAAATTAATGACTTATGACTGGCTATCTAGGAGTTGGATCCTACTGTTCAGTACCAAAAAAAAAAGATTGCTAAGTAACATTGGAGAGCCATGTTGAATATACCCAAGGGAACAGCTAAAGAATTTTCAGCTGACAAGTTGCTTGCATGTAGCTGCTTCCTACTTTAAAAAAAAGGAATTATCTTTTCTTAAAAGAGGCTTTAATTTAGAAGGGATATGAATTAGCTATAAATTATATATGCAATTTTAGGTAATAAAAAAATGTGTTTTTCAATATTTTTGATGTTGATTTAAAATGTGGAAATTTTCTTTAGGGATTGGTTTTTCAAGTCAATTGATATGCATGATAAAAATTACATAAACCATTAAAAATTATTTATATAGCATTCTGGAATCTGCCTTATTTACCTTTTTGTTTTTGGATGCAGAAATGGGAAGATACTTATAAGACAGAATTAGAAAAACAATAACTCTTTAAATAGAACTCCTGGCATGCTGAAATGTCAAGATAACAGAGTATCAAATAATCAAGCATTTACTCCCTTATCCTTATGATGTGAGTAATTAAAAATATGTAAGTATAAAATCCTAAACATATTTTATAAATATGAGAGGTGAAAGCGAAGTCGCTCTGTCGTGTCTGACTCTTTGAGACCCCATGGATTGTAGCCTAGCAGGCTTCTCCATCCACGGGATTTTTCAGGCAAGAGTACTAGAGTAGGTTGCCATTTCCTGCTCCAGGGGATCTTCCCAAACCAAGGATCGAACCTGGGTCTCCTACATTGTCGGCAGACACTTTTACCGTCTGAACCATCAGGGAAGACAGATATGAGAGAGAAGAAAGTATAATCTATTAGTCTATGTTGAAATATGCTTTGCCTATCAGTTTTTCTCCCGATTCTTAAAAATACCACCTCCCTCATACTTTACAGAAAGAATTGTGTGTTGCATAGTATCTCTTTACTTGACTTGGAGAAACAAGGTTGCATAAAAAACTATAACACCACAGTGTATTATAGTCAATTTATATGTTAAAAACCAATCTACTCTCATTTTTCAGGGTAGGCAGGGGTAAACTGGTCACTGAAAACTTAGATATATCAGTCAGCTACTTTTCTTGTCTTCCCTTCTCTTCCTTTGTCTTTTTTTTAAATTGTCAAAAATCTTCTGGACTTTTAAAAAGTAACTCAGATCTCCATACTATATCAAGCCAAGTAAAATAAAATCTCAACCAGCCAAATCTTCAGAAATTATTGTAAAGATATCAGATGTACCATCTGAGAATAGAAAAATGCAAAATATGAATTAATTTCTATGCCCCACCCTACATTTATCAGTTATTCATTCTGCAAAGAACATGCATAATACTTTCTAGCCCTCAAGGTGGTACTTACTAACACTTATTTAAGAGCTAATCTCTGTTACACACTTTACCACATTATTTTACAGGACCTTTCCAGAAATCCTCTTTTTTACAGAGAAATATTCCAAGCATTAGAGAATTCAAGGAACTTGCCCTCGGCCATAAAGCTCAGAACTTGGCAGGCCAGGGATCTGTGCCCAGGTCGGCTGAATTGAGAACCTGTGATCTTTACCCCTGGGGATGAAGAAAGCCAAACGCTGAACATACGTGTACCAGAGCTTGGGATGGCGGCTCACGGAATGATTTTTTCCATTAGTTGGAGTGTCTTTTGTTGCTGATTTACTCAACAGGAATTCTTGAAGCTTCTGCTTTACTTCTGTACTTGCCACTGCCCCTGAAACACACACACACAGAAACAGATGGTGATTTGGGGTTCTGTCCTTTCCTGCCTCTGGAATATTACTGGTCACAGCATATGAGTTTTCCTATTAAAAGAAACAACGAGAGTCTAAACAGGCTTTAGAAAATGACATAGTAATGTTTCATAACTACTGCTTCAACTGCCAATTTTCAAAAGACCTCCGATGATTTAATTGCTTTTACAGAAAGGGGATTCCCAGAATTAATAGTAGTTTTTTCCTAAGCTTTAAAAAATACTGCTGAGGAATGAAGCACTGTTTTTTAAAAGTCAGGAATCTTGGGGGACCATGTGTGATTAAACACATTAAAATGAGCTCTTCTGAATTTCTAGTTTGCAAAATCTAACTAAAAAAAAAAAACTCTTTTGAGCATTAAACAAATAAATAATGCTGACAATTTCAGTTCAAGTCATCACATTTCAAACCTTGCTACGACCTGATTTTGAACTGACCTCATGCAGGGGAATTATTTGGATCTGTCTCCCTCTTGTGGATAGTTTTTTTTTTTTTTTTAAACACAAGTTCTACTTTAAATCTTTCCAAAGTCTGGATACTTAAAAAGTAAATGAGACAAGGTTTGACTTATTAAAAAGCAATCACTACTTGAATGGGAAGAAGGTGGAGTAATGTGGAAGTAAGTTTATTATTAAACACAGTGGCATAGACATATTGCCTTAGCATAACGTTATTTTTAAGGTGCAAAATAAAAATATTATCATCTTTGCCAAACAAGGTTAAGTTTACTTCCGAAGATGCCTGTAGACTGAATGCAGAGAGCTGACATGTGAATGTCAAAGCTTTACATTTGGGCCCATAATTTATTCTTTTACTTAAACACAGACAATTTTGACAAGTTTAATTCCACTCTTTATCAGGCTCCTTTCTGAATGACAGTCAGCTAAAGACGAGGGAAGAGATCCATCTTTTACCCTGGTGCCTCTTACTTTCTCGTCCTCTATCTTTGCCTCTGAGAGGAGGAAGCTGCTGTTCTCTGCGATGCCTCTCTACTTCCTGTTCTTGCCTCTGCTGCTCCAGTTTCTGCTCCTTTTCTAGCAGTTCTTGCTGCTGTTTTATGGCTAGAAGTTCCTGTTGCAACTTGCGAGAAGAGAAAGACATGAGAGTGTGCAATTTCTTTAGGCTTCATAGTCATCAATGACCAAAATCGAAATGTTATGAGCTTTTGGAACTTAGTTCTATTTACTTTACATTTTACTCCCCGCCTTTTTTTTTTTTTTGGTATATTACTGAAATCTAAAGACAAGCAACTAATGCCATTGTTTTACTGTCATTAACAAGCACGTTTTTAGGTAGCTTCATTACCTATGCCGTCCTATCAGAATATTACCAAATTCACTCAGATCTTCAGTTCCTTGAGTGACTTTTCTTTGCGCATCTGAAATACATGACACAGCGAAGAAAGCCAGGAATTTCCCAGAAATCTGTTTTACCAAGTCCCTCAAAACATAAACAACTGAAATCTTAACTTCTTATACTAAGAAACAGTAGGAACATAATCAAACTGAGTAGAATGGTGAGACATGAATTACTTTGGGGAAAATACATCTGAAATAAAATGAAGGCTAAAAGTTTCAAAATCTTACAGAGAAGATTTTCAATAGATGAATACAATCCCTAAATGCACCACAAGCTATTTTCTCAAAATAGCAAAGTCTAATTAATTAGTTCACACAGCATACAAAACTCCTCAGTTATAGACTGGTCAAGAAGAAATCACTTCCACAAGACTGCACTTTGATACACTACTGTTTGGCTGTTTGAATCCCTTGAATTCACTTCTAAATAATGTACAACATTATTAAGCATTATAAAGCATTCTTAAAAACCATTTGAGTTGTCAATTTTCTCAGACTATGAAACAGACATTGAGGAATAATCGTAAATGTGCCCACTGAGAAATAACTAGAGACTGACTTCTACCAGGCTCTGACCTTACTAGATACAAGATCTAGACAACTTAATAAGCTACTCAGAGCTTGGGTTCCTCAGATATAAGACAGAGAAATAATCTCTCTCATGCATTATGTTCAAAATGCATATGAAATTTAGGTTGCAAGTTTGAACAATATTAATTTTGCTTTGATACTAATGAAGTTAGTATAATTTGCTGTTTATATGAGACAGGTCCTAAGACTCTGAAATTTACATTGAAAAGTAACAGAAAAAAAATTATGTGGAATGGCATAAGAATTACTGTGGAGCAACAGGAAGCCAACTCTGCACGTCAAACATGATAGCTTCTCTCGTCCCAGGACATGGTTAGAAGCATTTCTGGTTTCCTTCCATATTACAATCTCTGGCATTTTGGATGTGCGCTACTAGTCTCTTAATAGTAATTCTCTTTTCTAACAAAAAAAATTCATAATTCTGCTTAAACGTTACCTTAAATGTTAGTTCTATACAGATGCTGGGGGTGGTCAAATTGATTTAGTGTGCCACCCAAAGCCCCAAAGGAAATGAATGTTAATCTCTCTTAGGCATCTAGAAAAGCACAGAATTTAATTTGCACAGCTACTATTCATTGCTGAGGACTGCAAGAATGAGGTTTTAAAAAAAATTCACTCCGCCAATTTCAGATGTTCTAGTCCAACACAGAGCCAGAATGAAGTAGCAGCTTTGGAGGCAGACAAGGCAAGATTACAAATCTTTACTGGCTATGTGACCCTGTAATGTGATCCTACAGTATTTCTCTGAGCCTCAGACTACTAGGTGGAAAAATGGGACAATAGCATCTAATTCAACAGATGTTGATTATGAAAGCCAAATTTTTAAAACACTAATATAAATAAGTAAAGCATCATGCTATATCTTTCTTATTAAAAAAAATAAAATAAATGAATGTTAAAAGCATCAACTTTTAGCCTTGTAATATATAATACAAAATAGTAAAGTTAAAAAGAAATTAAAGCAAAAACACTTTAAACTTAAAAGGAAATTTTAAGTATGTCTTTAGTTTCTGAAAAAGCAACTTATTACTCTAGAAAATCATTCCAAAAACTAAGTTTTCCATTTAGCTATCTCAGAATCATTTTTCTCCCCCCTTTTCCAATATTTTCCAGATGTCAGTAAACCTGCTATATACTACTTTGGGGGCAACGTAACAATTACCTACTTGCTACTATCAACTTTTGAGTAAAATCAAATTACTTTAAATTTTTAATATTGATCTTTACAACTATCAAAGGCATCAAACATAAATGAAAAGATGCATATGAAGCTGTAACTTATTAGTACTATCCAATATTCAGGGCAACATGGCTTGCATAACACAGCAAAATGAACTAGATAGCTATGTAAATCTTAAAGTATGGTGAAGAATATAAATTTTACTCATTCATCACTGCCATCTTAAGATGTCTAGAATGATTAAAGAAATGAATCTAGACATCACTGTTACTGTTTCAAAGGTCAAACTGAAATAATGTTTAAGAACCATTAAAAAAAAAAGTCTATAAACTAAATGAAGGTTTCCTACACTGCAAAATATAGCCATGATTCCATATGGGACTTAAAAATACTCATTCTTATTTTTAGGGTATCTTACAGATCAATTGATGCTTTTGAACTGTGCTGTTGGAGAAGACTCTCGATAGTCCCTTGGACTGCAAGGAGATCCAACCAGTCCATCCTAAAGGAGATCAGTCCTGGGTGTTCATTGGAAGGACTGATGCTGAAGCTGAAACTCCCAATACTTTGGCCACCTCATGCGAAGAGTTGACTCATTGGAAAAGACCCTGATGCTGGGAAGGATTGGGGGCAGGAGAAGGGCACGACAGAGGATGAGATGGCTGGATGGCATCACTGACTCAATGGACATGTGTTTGAGTAAACTCTGGGAGTTGGTGATAGACAGGGAGGCCTGGCGTGCTGCGATTCATGGGGTTGCAAAGAGTCGGACATGACTGAGTGACTGAACTGAACAGATCAATAATTGGAAGAGTTCTTTTAGTAAAGTTCTTTTAGTTAAAGGAAAAAAAATTTACCCTTTATATCAGATATCAAAGAGCTTTTTTTGAAAAATAAGATAAAATAGGCCTGCTGGCTAAGGAGTTACAAAACAAGGAACATAGGGAGGAAAAAGCACCTTGACCTTCTCAGACACTATAATAATCAGTACGGTAAAAGTTTATAATACTAACATAGATTAATCATCTATATTAACACCATGTAAATGTGTTTGTACTTGATATGCAAGTGAGTAAAAGATCAAGTGCCTATATATACACTATAATAAAATATGAAATAATATCACATTACCTTATTATAATAATACATTAACATAGTTGAGTCATTTTTTGAAGGAGTTGGAGATAAAAAACTTTATAATAAATATTTGCTGCTTTATATTACTGTCATAATAAATTCAAAGTAAGCATCTATTAAGTCAGACCAAAATAGCTTTGTTTTAAATATCTTCATCAAGAAGTTGAAAGACATTTACAAATTAAACTGAAGTAATACTTATCTCTGATGATATAAGAGACTAAATAGATACAAACACATCTAGAATGATCTTAAAATAGTCAATCTCAAAAAATTCTGGGATATGGACATAATTCTCCCAGAATAACTTAATTAAATAACTTGGGTCTCAAATTATCAACTACTCCCAAAATTCTTTCCATAAATTCTTATCTAATCTACTAGACTTAAATAAAAACACTGAAAACATCTGTACCAGTTTCTTTATATATATAAAATTCTATCCAGCTTTTCATTATGTTATTTTTTTGTATGTATACATTATGAAGTCTTTTCCATAAGGAAGATTAGGGCATATCCAGGACATCTACTTATAGACCAAAGAAAAAAATTAAAAAAAATTAAGAAGGCTCTCTCTTCATATAAAATGATTTATTTATCCTCTCTGGTAAATAGTATATGTAGATTCTTTAGACACATAAAATGTGTCTCCTCAGGCTCATGGTTCTTCTTGATGGAGAGTAGATGTGGCAAATGGACAAAATTATGTAGAAGAGAATCTTAAAAAGGGTAAGAAGTTACTTTTCCCAGATATTGATGCTATAAACTAACTGATAAAGGAGTTGTAGAGGCCCCTCTCCAAGAAGCAAAGCAGGATTTCTTCCAGGATTCCTTTTACTTACCCTAGGTTTTCACTAGTACAAGCCCAGTTTCCTCCCAGCCATGAATCCATATCTTTTCAGAATGAAACCTCACCCCTGTGCCCCCTCTTATGCCCACGTTACGGCGCAGACTCCCAGAGCCAACAGTTGGAGACAAAGAAACGCTTGCTACCTTGATGTGCTCCTGAAGCTGAGCCTGGTGCTGCCGAGTCAAGTTCTCATGCTGCTTCTGGAACTCCGCGATCAAGAGCTGCTTCTGGATCTGCTGCTGCTGCTGGATGAGGAGCAACTCCTGCTGCAGTTGCTTCTCGCGGACAACAGGGTCCACCACGGGCATCATCATCCTGAGGTCCGTTCTCAGGTCTAACGGCGAGATGGGCTCCAGGCCCACAGGAACCTCGGACTTCACATCGACTGGAGAAACCAACAAAACAGGAGGCGTGACAGAGGACAGAAGATTAGCACACTGATTTGGAAACAAATTAGAAATGAAAGACACTATACCCTACTAGATTTCTTTCAGTGCATCAATAAATTTAGTTCTGCTTTTTTACAAGGATGATAAAAAGGTCTTCTGTACATTAGATTTGATAAAATGCTGATTTTCAGCTAGCACTTTGTACTTTGCCATTAAATCTTTCACATTTCCCCTTTTCAAAGAGATGACTCCAAAGATTCACAGGTATCAAAGTTGTTCGTTTATAACACTTATTCTACTGGACCACTGGTCAAATTCAAGTTGACTTAAGACAAAAAATGCAACACTATTGAGGAAAAGATGTCATGTGATATTAGAAAACTTCTAACACAAACAAATTTGTACACTTACAAACATTTTTGTTTGTAATCAGAAGATACATTCCTTAAGAAGTAAAGCTTATAAAATAAAGAAGTAAAGCTTATAAAATAAAGAAGTAAAGCTTATAAAATAATGTATTTGTAGGGCTATGGAACTTAGCAAAGAAAAAGTACGAATATGCATACTAATATGTGGGAAATGGTGAGTAGAAAGCAAATACAGACCCAGTGTAGACAGAAGTCACCTAATTTTCAATTAAATAATTGGGAAATTTTTTTAAATTACGGGAACTGGAAAAACATGTATCTGTAAATGGACCTTGACATACAGGTTGCCAATTTCCAAACTCTGCTTTAATCTAAATGCCAGTTTCCATAACATATAAAAGGATGTGTTACCTTCTGAGTAACTGTGTTATCCTGAGTGTGTTATTTAAGTTCTCTGGGTTTCAGTTTCCTCACATGTAAAATGGAGATAATTACCATTAACAGTAACAACACAGAGTTGTTAAAATGATTAAATAAGATAATTCAAAGACTGACAACATACAGCATACTTCTCAATAAATGCTTTTTTAAATTATGTAAAAGTGGAATTTACTGTGTATTAGACTAAATCATGAAGACTGTGAGAATAACCAAACAAAAATATTAAGAGTAAATATGAAAATAAAATTGTGCATGGTTTCTATTAAATATTAGAAAATAAAAACACTAAAACTTATAGAAAATATTTAAGGCAAGAAAACAAATAGAGCCAAACAAATAAAAAATCCACCTTCACTAAAGTAAAGAAATGCAAATTTTAAATCAAAATAAGGCATCATTTTCTAATTATTAAGTATCATATTCCCCTGGAGAAGGGAATGGCTACTCCAGTATTCTTGCCTGGAGAATTTGATAGACAAGGGAACATATACATGATTCATATATATGCACACACGTATGTACAACAGGGCAAACATATGACCAAGCAGACAATTGTATACTGCAAGTGGCACTGCCAATCAGTTTAAAACTTCTGAAAAAGTGATACGTGATATCACAATTTGGTGATAGGTAGCAAGAGGAATTAAATATTTCTACCATTTGATTCAGGTTTGCCAACTCTTGGAATATATCTTAAGGAAATAAAATTAACACAGGAAGAAACAGTTCAATGTCATATTGTTAACTAAAGTATTATTATTTTAACTGAAATCACCAACTACAAGGAGATGTCTAGTAAAATATGTCACATCTATTTCATGGAAAATATGTAATCATTAAAAACAATGTTTATCGGAACAGGAAAAATGCTGTTACAACATTAAGTGAAAGAACAACAATAAAAGTGACATATACCCTATGATAACTCTTTAACTATAATTTAACTTAGTCAGTATACATTTATTGAGAACCTTAAATTCCCAAGTGATTCTACATGTTTGGGTTTATTAGCAAAACAAAAAGACAAAAACATTCTCACCTTCATTGAGCATATATTCTACTGGAGATTTAATGGTATTAGTCTCTGAATTCTACTAGCTAAGACTGGTGAGATAAAGAACAAAAGAAAGTTCTATTTTAGGTAGAAATATGAGTAATTGCCCCCTTTCTATTTTTTCATATTTTTACAATTGCATCTAATGCTCCGACTCCTACCCTGAGTAATTTAAATTTGCAGATCGCCAGTTGGAAACTATGAAGTTAATATTCCATGTGAATTTAAGAGTTATTTTCAGCAAGTCAAGAAAGGCTAACAGAAATTGTTAGTAGAAATTAAGGCTTCAAACACTAAATGAAATATTAATATCTTGCTTACCATGTGAATTGTGTGTACATAAAGGTTTGTGTGAAGAGGCATGACTGTGCACTGGTATGTGGGCAACCTGTTGTCAATCTTGGTTGACAACACTGGTGATTTTTCAACATACAGATCAGAAGAGTTTGCAGTTATTGTACTGACATGTCATTTTAATGAAAATGGGAAAATGATTTATTAATAAACCATAGTTTGGTGAACAATATTTCTAAAACATGGTATTTGCAAAAGAAAAAATATTAACTTTGACAAGTTTGAAACTAAGTGAGAATGAGGGCCTGTAAGAAATGTACAACAGGGCAAACATATGACCAAGCAGACAATTGTATACTGCAAGTGGCACTGCCAATCAGTTTAAAACTTCTGAAAAAGTGATACGTGATATCACAATTTGGTGATAGGTAGCAAGAGGAATTAAATATTTCTACCATTTGATTCAGGTTTGCCAACTCTTGGAATATATCTTAAGGAAATAAAATTAACACAGGAAGAAACAGTTCAATGTCATATTGTTAACTAAAGTATTATTATTTTAACTGAAATCACCAACTACAAGGAGATGTCTAGTAAAATATGTCACATCTATTTCATGGAAAATATGTAATCATTAAAAACAATGTTTATCGGAACAGGAAAAATGCTGTTACAACATTAAGTGAAAGAACAACAATAAAAGTGACATATACCCTATGATAACTCTTTAACTATAATTTAACTTAGTCAGTATACATTTATTGAGAACCTTAAATTCCCAAGTTGATTCTACATGTTTGGGTTTATTAGCAAAACAAAAAGACAAAAACATTCTCACCTTCATTGAGCATATATTCTACTGGAGATTTAATGGTATTAGTCTCTGAATTCTACTAGCTAAGACTGGTGAGATAAAGAACAAAAGAAAGTTCTATTTTAGGTAGAAATATGAGTAATTGCCCCCTTTCTATTTTTTCATATTTTTACAATTGCATCTAATGCTCCGACTCCTACCCTGAGTAATTTAAATTTGCAGATCGCCAGTTGGAAACTATGAAGTTAATATTCCATGTGAATTTAAGAGTTATTTTCAGCAAGTCAAGAAAGGCTAACAGAAATTGTTAGTAGAAATTAAGGCTTCAAACACTAAATGAAATATTAATATCTTGCTTACCATGTGAATTGTGTGTACATAAAGGTTTGTGTGAAGAGGCATGACTGTGCACTGGTATGTGGGCAACCTGTTGTCAATCTTGGTTGACAACACTGGTGATTTTTCAACATACAGATCAGAAGAGTTTGCAGTTATTGTACTGACATGTCATTTTAATGAAAATGGGAAAATGATTTATTAATAAACCATAGTTTGGTGAACAATATTTCTAAAACATGGTATTTGCAAAAGAAAAAATATTAACTTTGACAAGTTTGAAACTAAGTGAGAATGAGGGCCTGTAAGAACTTTGGTCACACTGTCCAGTGTAGAACTGTCAATTAAGGCTCCGGAGTAACATGAGATTTTGAGTATTAATTTATGGAGGTGGCATTATTCCAATCAAAAGCAATGGCTGTTAATGATATACTTCATTTCTACACTGAAAAGGCCAGAATAAAGCCTCAGTATTTACATGGATGTCTCAATAAACATATTTAACCCTATGAATGCAAAATGTAAAATTTCAGGAGGCCTGGGATCTCTCCTTGCTGGCATTCTTATTATCTGTAAACTATAATGATCAATTCCCCACTCCCCAAGAAAAGAAAACAAAAAAGATAAAAGAGTCCCAGAACTCTCTGATACAGCTAGTCTAAGACTCAAAGGGTAATTTGACTTCTTAACCTGCTATCCCAACAGAAATGATTGTGTCTAACTGCTTGCCTTTGTTCAGAGACTAATCACTAAATTGTGAAAAATCACCCTCAACTTACAAAAACTGCTCTTGATTATAAATAATTGCCCAAGACCGAGAGAAAGCGGCAGGCAAGATCCCAGTCTTTCATACAATTTATTCAGCAGCAATCCACATTCCATTTGTCTAGACTAAATATAGCAGCGTTTATACAAGAAATCAATAGTGCTTGCAGAGAGGAGAGCAAAGGCATGAATATTTCATCAAACTCAGAGAGAAATGGCAATCAGCAAACTGATGGTTCTGTGTAGGTCATCTCTGGCCTGCTGGATCAGTTCCTGTTACTTGGACAATAGCTCATCTCTGTCTAATCATAATCATATCATAACCATTCTTTCTATTTTTAACATTAATTGCATTGTGGGTGACAAAGGCTCATCGTATTCCAAAAGGGAAGATGGATTTTTCTTACATCTTCGATAACAGGCTAATAAGCCTCCCCAGGAACAATAATAGTAACACAATACCAGGGCTGAGTTTCAACAAGTTACAGTCACCTACACATCACAAAATATGAAAGAAAGATCACTGTCAACAGCTGTTGTATTATCATAATTAGAAATAATCAACTTACAAGGAAAAAATAACAACCAGCTTTAACAATGAGGAAATGGAATCATCACTGTTCACAACATTTCTTGTCTAGGAGCATGCAAAGTCCTTACAAATTACTTAGAACAGGTGGCCAGGGATACATAAGTTAGAAGGAAGTTGATGATAACAAATAGTAGCATTAGCATTTGTTGTTGCTCAGTTGTGTCCGACTCTTTGACTGTTAGCTTACTTATGAGTGTGTGTGCCATGGACTGTAGCCTGTCAGGCTCCTCTGTCCATAGGATTTTCCAGGCAAGAATACTGGAGTGGGTTGCCATTCCCTTCTCCAGTGGATCTTCCTGACCCAGGGATCAAACCCAGGTCTGCTGCATTGC